CCGTCAATGAAGTATTTGTTCCCAGTACATCTAGCTTGTAGACAATGCCATACAAATCCCATGCATTCCTCAAGTCTGTAGCCCGTAGGCTAAGTAGAAAGAAAAACCACCACAAGCAAAACAAAAGCCAAGATATGCTCAACCCAGCATCAAACATGAGCAACAGAATCACCTTACAGCTAACTGGCTGGTTAAATTTGTACATACAAATCAAGGGACATTAAGAGGCTGATAGTTTCTGCATACCCTAAACCATCCAGGAGGTAATCGGGTTTCACAAACTGAAACTAGGGATAAACAAGCAAGAAACCAGACCAAGGCTGACAACATGCAAAGGTAAATCACCAAACAAGCAGAAGCTAAGAAAAATAACCCATCCTAGCCTCCAAAAATGCCAGTATTGCAAACAGAATTCCACAAATTGTCAAAAAAAAGCATAAAGGAAACACAATATAATCCATTTCACCATAGAAGTACAAACCTGAAATCCAAAAACATAATGCAGAAAATCCATAAGATCAGAACTCCTTGTATCGGGAATAGAAAAATCACTAGGCAGTTTTGGCAAACCCAACCTAGATTAAGAAAGCATGAGAGAATAAACAACTTAAAAATAAAGAATAAAACAAAGGAGATCAATCTGCAAGTCAACATGAAAGTTACCGAGACTAACCCTATCCATTTACAAAACATTATTTTAAAAAAATCCAACTCATCATAAGCAACAGGATTATATTCATAACAAATACCTTATGAAATTAAGAGAGCTCAAGGTTAAACCAAAACTAACACATAAAGGTCAAATAAATGCATAACATAGCAAGCAACAATTAGATCGCTATTTTTCTAACACTTCTAGAATCTAGATGAGGTGAACCTAGAGTAGACTCAATTTCAATTCATATTCTTTAAACAATGAAGCTAATGAAAATGATCTACATGGTTAAAACATTGACCTAATTCATTTCACCTACAAAATTATGCATGAGACAAAAAAGACATAAACACGGAACCAATCCAACTATAACATGTATGAATTATGAGTAAAAATAGACCAAGTTGCCCAATATACTCATTTCAAGACTCCAGCAACAAACAAAAAACAAATGAAAAGCACATTTGAAGGGAAGAGAACTTTAGAGAAGCCATGGTTAAAACGGCATGGTTTTTTATGATACATACTCCCCAAGGTTGCCACTAAAAACACCCGACTCCCTCAACATCATTTCTTCTTCCCGAAGCTTGTCAACATTGTTCTTCTCTCTATAAAGCATATAGAACTCTTGCAAGCGAGCAATATCTTGGCTACTATCTATGGTCCCAACCTCTCTTTTTCCTAGCTTTTGCTGAAAAATTGAAGAATGTGTCAAGAATTGCAACTTACATTAAATAGAAACATTGAGGATAACAATTTCTGTATAAAACATCTTTACAAAAAAATGCATTAAATATGCATATACAATAAACCAACTACATTTCCAACCTAGCTTTCTCCAAGACATCCTAATATCCAAACCTCATAGGCACCAACATCAGTGTGAAAGTATGTAATACTTCATCATATTTAAGTGGACATAAAGTAAATCTCACAACATTAAGTAGGAATCATCATAAGCACATAAATTTAACAAAAAAAAAAATAAGGCTTTCCATTCCACCTATTAACAATTGGTTTCAGCTTGGATGCCCATTTTAAAAATTTAACACAGTATCAAAGTTAAGCATTACTTCTATTGACGCAAAGTTGATACCGCAAGAGAGGCTTGTGATGCATGTGAAGTTCGTACCACATGATAGGACTGTTGTCCCAACACGTAAGGCGTGAATATTGAAGTGCAGATAAAGTATATTCCACATCTGTTGATTTGGGGTAACTGGGGAATATGAATATAACAAGGACCTCTCAACATATAACCAATTGGTTTTAGGTTAGATACTCATTTTAAAATTTAAAACATCATAAAATAATCACTTTAATTGTTCAAGGACCTTTAGCCAACCCGATTTGAAGAATGTGTCGTGAGCATAAATTTGCACAAGGGAGTCCAAATGCTAACTGCACTTAACAGAACAAGTAACAACCAACAGGCACAAGATAGTATAAAATGCACACACACAAAATGGATACTGGAGAGACTACTCATGCTCATTCTTGCAAATAGAAGTTCTTGCTTTGTTAACTTACCTTGATCACAGACATTAGACCAGTCTTGAATGGTAAAACGCCTCTGCCTTCACTATTAGGATCCAGATTTTGAGCAAATGAATAGGCATGCTAACATACTGCAAGAAAACAATAAAATTTAGCAAGTCAAAAACATTAAACAGCTTTTATTGAAGACCTGTGATATTTCCCCAAAGCAAAATGATAGCTTCACTGTTAAACAGATTCATATGCAGCATAATTCTCGTCGGTCACATAACTGAAATAGAGAAATTGCTTACTATATTAACAGAAATGAGATCAACTCCTTAGCAGAGAAACAAAAAAGAAACATCTCACAGACATGTAGATACTTATACCCATATGTGTGTGCAGATATGCAGTTTTGGTTGTTCTACATCAGCAGTATCCAAGTGTCTTTGATTTTTTATACTCAGCATGCAAGCTATCATCTGTTGGACTCGAACTCACAAGTACAGACTACCTACTAAACTATACCATATATAACTTAAACCATTAAAGAATCAATTATCATATCAAAAAAAAATTAAAGAATCTTTTAATTGTAAGAAATATTGTATTCTTCAGGGGTTCAAGTTATATTAGATGTGTTACCATTAACCGATCCTTAATCTTCCAAGCAGAACCCAAAACCCTATAAGGCCATAATTCATTCACCAGAAAAAGTAAGTAACAAAAAATTAAAAAAAGAAACAAGGGTACAAAAATTCCACTAAAATTGAGGATCATATCTTCTCGTCACACAAGCTTATACTAGGTGTATGACATGTGACTTCATTAGCCATGCGGCTTGAAAATAACACCACCAATAAAAGTGTCCCATGTGCGTTTTATAAATATGCAGAATTCTTGGGACATAAACTTCGAGCCTTTAACATATCATCCAAAAAAAATAAAAATCTAGACATGTCAGCACTGATTCCTATGATTTATAATTAGGAAAAATAAATAAGCTATAAAAACCGGCAGCAATGATGGATCAGATGATAGAATAACAAAAGATTCATGGAAACCAAAGGAAAAGGAAAAAAACATACAAATTCTCAATACGTTAGGTTCCTCATCCTGAATTTCATCTGCAAGTCTCAGAATTGTATATATATCTCTATCGTTCGCAATAGACGAAGGAACATATCCAGCAATTCCACCAGCAGGCTGACCTACTGTACTCATCCCAAATCTTTCCCTTCTTAACGCCGTCCGTACTAACCTCTCCCATAGCTCTTCCGCTCGAGACATTTTGGTAAAGGTAAGTCACAAATTCTACAACAGCAAATGATAGAAACCCAAACATCAGAATTCTGCTCATAACAGGTTATATATAAAAGTAAATATCTATCGGCCAATGCAAGTTAATTAAAGAGCTATTTCAGCAGAGAGATCATGTGCCAAACATACAACAAATAAAACAACATCAAAGTAAAGAACACTGGTTGCCTCGCTGCGAGGCCTTCTGGCTAGAACAGTCAAGAGAATACGTAAGATTTTTAGGAAAAACTAAATGTTGATAAAAAGGAAGCTAACTAATTAGCACATTCTATAACCTTTCCTTTTTCTTCTAAAAACAAGAGAAAAAAAAAATAATTAGAACACTCGACATATCAATTTTAAGCTCAAAACATCAAAGCCTACTATCTCGCATTCGTTCATCAGCGCCTTAACAGACGAATTCAAACTTTAAAGAAAGAAACTGCACAAAATCCAAAACTGTTTTCCACTTTCTATTGATCTGTTTTCCGCAAATTCCCGAGAAACAAACAGATCACTAGAAGCTTACATCAGACATTAGTTGCGAATGAAAATTAAAAAAAGAAATGGCGTACCAGATGGCTGTAAGCAAACCCTAGAGACAGAGTTCAAACAAGAGTTCAATCTGTGAACTCGGGAGGTTTTTGAATTGAAAAGAAAAGTAGCTTTTAAAATACGAAAATAAAAGAGCAAAAAGGTGACACTGAAATAGTAAGGAAGGAACGATGCCTCCGATTTAGTTTTTTTAGAATAAAGGAACTATGTAAAATAATTATTTTAATCGGTATTTTTTTCAAATATTACAAAATAATCATTATATTTTTTAAGCATTTACAAAATAATCTTCATTCGAACCAAAATTGAGTCCTAAACCTTCTCTCGACGTCTGGTCTTCGATTGTTTAAAGAAATTTGAGGATTTAAGAATTTACAGATTGAGTTTTTTTTTTTAAATTATAAAATTAAAAAAATTTAAAAATATTTTTTCAATATTAATATTAATTTGACTAGTTGATAGAATTTTTTAACGATCGCTAATAAGATGACCTTAAAATGATAACATAATGAAACTTTAGGCACCTTAAATAATAATGAAATAAACATTATTTACAAAATAACCATTAGACTTTATCAAACTGTTACAAAAATAGTCTTTGAATTTATCAAATTTCATTATTATTACAACGTCACATAAACTATTTTATAATCATTCAAAAAAATAGTAACCAATTTTTAACTTCTGAAAGTTATAATCTTTAGATCAAGACAATTTTAGAATCAAGTCCCTCAAATTTTGTTCTTTAATAACTAATTGACAAGGTGGTAATTCTATGTTCTCATGGTTTTTTCAAATCAAAAAGAAAGAAATTGTTTCTTAACCTTATATTTTAATGGAAAATCAAACAATTTTATTGAGAAAAGTATGGTATTTAACAATCACTTTCGTACAACAAAAAGGTTTGTTTTTGTTTGCATGATTTTCTCCCTAAAACCTTTTGAATAAATATTTCTTTTATTATATATAAATCCATTGTCGACGGAGGAAGAAGACGTCAAGCAAAGCTAATATGACGACGATAAAAACCTCGAAATCCAACATCTCCGACAATGATATTGATGCTGTATTTCGTGCTAGCAAACGTTTAAAGACTGAAACTAATGAGACGTTAACAACTATGACATACGACAGGGCAACGATCGAATTCCGAACCAGAGATTGTCGTACAAATTTTCCATGCTCCGATCACAACATCCGAGAGTCTAATTTCCAAAACCTTTATACCGTTCAAGATGTACTAAGCATAGTCAACTGCGGTTCTTATCAATCCATGGTAAAAAAGGACGAGAGATCGAGCATCATCCATGGCGATTTCCAATTCACGTGTATCCAACTATTTCGAAAGGAATTAACTCCGAGTGATGTTGGGAAGTTGAACAGGCTCGTGATCCCAAAGAGACATGCAATCAAACACTTTCCGTGCATTCAAAACAATCACCAACGCTTGATCAACGGTGGATACGAAGATCTCGAACTTATATTTTACGATAAGTCGATGAAAACTTGGAAGTTCCGGTATTGTTATTGTCGGAGTAGCCAAAGCTTTGTGTTTACAAGGGGATGGAGTCGATTCGTGAAGGATAAGAAACTAAGGGAAAGAGATGTGATTGTGTTTTACGCGTGCGAATGCCCCGATGAACAAGAAGATGGTGTGAGTTTCTTCTTGATTGATGTGAATTATATCAATGGTGAAGGGGAAAATAGGGAGTTTCAGAGAAAAGAATCATCGTCGGTTCATCATGATCAGGGTGATTTGCATGTAGATTTGGGATTGAATTTGGGGAAGAAATTTTGCTGCAAATTAGATAATGATAACGAGAATAATGGAGAACATTGTGGTTTCAATGGATTGAAATCATCTGATAATGTAAAGAGAAAAAATGTTACTTTGTTTGGAGCACAGATTAATTAACCGTAACACTATTAATATTTTTTTATTTCAAAACCTTTTTTTAAAGTACATAGATGGTTCGTTGACTATTAAAAGTTATAGAATGGTCCCCGACTACCATAGGGTGTTGTTTTGTTGATTCCTCGTACAATTAAAAGTTATAAAATGGTCACCTAACTATTGATATGTTCTAAACTCGTACTTTTCTATTAAAAAAATTGACAATCGTCTGCGTTTAACATTAACATATTGATCGGGATATGATAAAATATATTTTAATGATGTCTTCTAGCATTGTCGCTACTTTCAAGCATTGGCTCGAAATTTTCAAGAATTGACTTGACGAGATTATGTAAACGGAGAATCGATCCACAAAATACACTCAAACGATTATGTGATAAGATTTTATCATATTTCAGTCAACAAGTTAACGTCCAACTCATACAACCGACAATTTTTTAACAAAAAGTTCGGAACATATAAGTAGTCGGTGACCTTTTTGTAATTTTTAATAATCTGGAGACTCAACAAAGTAGTGTCCTATAGTCAACGGATCATTTTATAACATTTAATTGTTGGAGGATTCAACAAAGTGTTATCTTATAATCGAGGGATCATTTGTGTACTTTACCATTTTTATTAGAATTGTTTTTTATTAGTCAAATGGAAAAGAATATATTTCCTTTCTGTCGCAACCGTCTTTCGGTTGGACCCGGAATTGGGCTTCGACTTGGATTAATTGGGTTAGGAGTCGCCACCGACCACTTTAAAACGAATTTAGGTAGGTCGGACACCATCTTACCTGATCTGCGTTGTACCAGAAACGTGTCGGGTTCGGGGAGTCGGTTACGGTCAAGGAAGGATCAGCACCCTTGAACCGCCCTTTCGGTACCAATTAATTTTTCGGTTGTCTTTAATTGCGAAAATTAAAAACTTAAATTAAAATTAAAATTATTCGATTTGAAAAGCTTACTTTTGATTGACTGAAGTTTCTAAAAAACAATCGAAATGTTAGACAAAAGATAATAAATAAATTTTAAATAATTAAAAGGAAACGGAAAAGAAAAAAAAATGTTAAATAAATGAAAAACGTTGGCCCAAAAAATAAAAAAAAAGGAATTGTTAGTGACTGAAATAAAATACGCCTGAAATTTGAAGTCAGAATTAAAAATAATAAAAGCTAATATCAGTGACTATAACGTAAGCATCACAGGTTCCAGGGAGCGGATACATAGTTTACCCATGAACGAAATTACGCAGAAAGTCCCTGAGCAAAACGACGCCGTTTTACGCGCATTATATAAGGGGTATTTCAGGCCGAAAATGGTCACTCACCCCATTTTGCAACTTTGCTCCATCTCTCTTAAAAGAGAGAACTCTGGCTTCTCTCTAGGGCCATCCCACCGATGGGAAGCTGATCACCGGCCGCCGTCGTCTACAGCCGCCGACGCCGCCGCTCGCGGCGGCCGTAAAACTAAAACCCCTCAAAATATTCCTCTCCACCCCCTGAGCCCGGATCTAACCACCAAACAACGAACTAGGCCCTAGATCGGAGTAGATCTACACAAATGTACTTGGCTTTTCACCTTCGCCGACGAAAGCTCCTCGCCTTCCCGATGCAACCACAGACGAAAGCCTTCGGCTGTGACGATATCCTTCAAAAACTTGAGTGTTCTTTGATCTCTTGCTTGGTTTTTTGTATTTTTGTACTGTTTTTGTTTCGATGGTTTCGTGGTTTCGATGATTCGGTTTGATGATGGTTCTTTGGCTCTTGGTTGTGTTCTCTGGTTTTTTGATCTGTGTTGGTCGATCTTGGTACCGTTGATGGTACTGTCGTGGTGGTTTTACCTCTCGATGATGTTGTGCTTGTGCCTTGTTGAGGCTTTGGTGGTTGTTTCCTGGGTAGATCGTGGTTGATGGTCTTCTGTTTACTCTCGTGGTTAAGATGCCCCCCCCCCGTCGTGGGGTCTGTCCATTTGGTATTTATAGGCCTTCATCGGCCGTTTTCCTGTTCCGAATACGGGCTGGTGGCCGTTGTGGGTTGATCGGCTAAAACGGGATGGGTCAGTCCCGATTTAGCCGGGGCTGGTTGCTTCGTGATCGGATTTTGGCCGGTTTTCTCGCCTGGCTGTGCGTGACTTGTTCCTCCCTCGTGCGGCGCAATGCTTGACCGAGTAAACCCTAACTTGTAGAGTTTGGGCTGGTTCAGGCCCCAAACATATTGGACCCGAACAGTGGACTTCTCTTAGACCCAATCTTTGGACCTGGACCATAAACAGAATAAATGAAATCAAATGAATAAAGTGAATAAAATGAAAAGAAATAATACTAATAATAATATAGACTATATAATATATATATCCCAAAAAATATTTTTTAAACTATATATTATATTTAAAAATGTTTTCAAAACTATATACCATATAGTTTTCAAAAATGATTTTAAAAATATTATATGAGTTTTCCAAAATATTTTTAAAACTATATATTATATAAAATTTTCAAAAATGTTTTTATTTTAAACTATACATTATATTTTCAAAATGATTTCAAAAATATATGTTATATAATTTTCAAAATGTTTTTAAAACTTATATTGTATAAGTTTTCAAAAAACGTTTTTTAAAAAAACTATATTATATATATTTTCAGAAACCATTTTTTGTAAACTATATGTTATATTTTTCAAAAACACTTTCAAAAATTATACTATATTATCGTATATATGCCTATAATAAATAAAAATAAAAAAACTCAAATTCGGGTGAAAATGAGTGTCTACAGCTGCCCCTCTTTGTCCTTTTTCGTGGAACGAAGAATAGGACAAAGATAAAAAGACACAAATTTTCGCTCGGTAGAGTTGAAGAATAACTCCCTGTCGAATTGGGTTGCAGATGGCTCCTTCGTCGTGAAGTCGAGTCCACCTTGAAATGATATAGAATTGAAGCAGATGGCTCGGGATTTGAATCGGAATGTGGCTTCTCGTTGTAGTGCGCCTCGGTCTTTTCCTCGGTTTAAAGACTCTGGTTGGAAATTCGACTGGAAAGTAGTTCATTGACTCTATCATGTGGTTGATAGGCCCTCGAGCTGAATGAAACCGAACCCGAAAGGTCTTCGCTGACAGATAGCTTTCCTCGACCTAAGCTATGTTACCGGAAAAACGGCTTATTGTCACTAAGACACGGTTAACCCAGGTCTTCTTCTCGACTTGAAAACCTCGATTGTAGCCGAACAGTAGTGTGATTGAGGTGTCATCGAGCTGAATGGAGCCGAACTCGACAATTTTATTGACAGATAGCCCTTCTTGCCTGGAGCTATTATGTAAGCTTGATTTGCCTCTAAGTTGAATATAATCGAACTCGAATGTCTTTAGCAGATAGCCCTTCTCGACTTAAGCTATGCTGCAAATGATGTGCTTTGTAGCTGAGCCTAGTCGAACTCAAAGGTTTTTGGTTGGCAGATACTCCTTCTTTGAGTTGGATATCCCTCGTCGTGAAGTTGAAATCCAATCTAGAGATTGATGTTGCTTGTGTGCACGATTCCCTTCGTCATGAAGTTGAAACCGCGGGTGACCCTTCGTCGTTAAGCTGAGCAAAGAAATTGGATATCCTTCATCGTGAAGTTGAAATCCAAGTAAGTTGTATTGTTCCAAGTCCAATATCCTCCGTCGTGAAGTTGAAATTGGCTTTGGAACTGGGAAATTGTTTGTTGACAACCAGTCATCCCTTCGTCGTGAAGTTGAACTTGCGTTGTCTCGAGTCCAATATCCTTCGTTGTGAAGTTGAAATTGGCTCTGAAATTGAGAAATTGTTTGTTGACAACCAGCGGTCCCTTCGTCGTGAAGTTGAACTTGCGTTGTCTCGAGTCCAATATCCTTCGTTGTGAAGTTGAAATTGGCTCTGAAATTGAGAAATTGTTTGTTGACAACCAGCGGTCCCTTCGTCGTGAAGTTGAACTTGCGTTGTCTGGAGTCCAATATCCTTCGTTGTGAAGTTGAAATTGGCTCTGAAATTGAGAAGTTGTTTGTTGACAACCAGCGGTCCCTTCGTCGTGAAGTTGAACTTACGTTGTCTGGAGTCCAATATCCTTCGTTGTGAAGTTGAAATTGGCTCTGAAATTGAGAAGTTGTTTGTTGACAACCAGCGGTCCCTTCGTCGTGAAGTTGAACTTGCGTTGTCTGGAGTCCAATATCCTTCGTTGTGAAGTTGAAATTGGCTCTAAAATTGAGAAGTTGTTTATTGACAACCAGCGGTCCCTTCGTCGTGAAGTTGAACTTACGTTGTCTGGAGTCCAATATCCTTCGTTGTGAAGTTGAAATTGGCTCTGAAATTGGGAAATTGTTTGTTGACAACCAGCGGTCCCTTCGTCGTGAAGTTGAACTTGCGTTGTCTGGAGTCCAATATCCTTCGTTGTGAAGTTGAAATTGGCTCTAAAATTGAGAAGTTATTTATTGACAACCAGCGGTCCCTTCGTCGTGAAGTTGAACTTACGTTGTCTGGAGTCCAATATCCTTCGTTGTGAAGTTGAAATTGGCTCTAAAGGCTGTAACAAATCATGTATGCTGAAAATGATGGATGTGATGCACCTAGGTATGTATAAGATGCATGCAATCATGAATGAATTATGATTTATTTCTTGGATTGAAGTCCCGCGTCTTGCCTGCCAATCTGGTTCATAGAATTGATCGTGCCCCATTTGCTTCTCGAGCTTTGGCTTTACAGACCTTTCATATTTGAGACTGTCCCGCTTTAAAATGTTTTTCTCCTTTTTCTTGTTTTAGGAGAGAGACATGATAAAAATGTTGTAAAATATTGTTCGCAACTGAATCACATTGTAAACGTGAGTTCAAAAAATATCAATGAAATCAAAAGCTCTTTTAATGCTTTCAGAGTTACAACTCTTTGACAAATGTTCAAACGGATGAGTTGGTTTTAGGCTGGCTTCATTTCTAAGGTCTTGGTAACACAAAATGTCATTTCATTTTTTTTAAATATCGCAACATGCTTTGGCATTTCATTTGG